TCTTTACATGGTCCGAAATGGTTTACCCACTGCCACACTTAGGGTGGAGGGGTCTGAGCGCCACAACCCAGCACCAAAGGAGGCTGGGAAGTGCAGTTGGAAAGCATTCACAGCATGCATAACTATTTTATTTATTTATTTATTTTATTTTTTTGGGTCCAGTCGTGGGGACTGAACTCTGGGCCTGGGCGCTGTCCCTCAGCTCTTCAGCTCAAGGCCAGCACTCTACCACTTGAGCCACAGCGCCACTTCCGGCTTTTTTCTTATGTGGTGCTGAGGAATCGAACCCAGGGCCTCAGGCATGCATAACTATTTTAATAAAATATTTCTAATTCTTTAGAAAATGTGATATCAGGTTAAGAGTTCATAAAGCTGAATGAGCATGCAATGTAATGCCGAATGAGTATGTGTACAATCTTATTCTGTATTCTTTAAAAAACAAACATGTTGGGGCTGGGAAGGTGGCTCAGTGGTAGAGTGCTTGCCTTGCATGCTCAAGGCCCTGGGTTCAATTCCTCAGCACTACATAAGCAAAAAGAAAAAAGCCGGAAGTGGCGCTGTGGCTCAAGTGGTAGAGCGCTAGCCTTGAGCTGAAGAGCTGAGGGACAGCGCCCAGGCCCAGAGTTCAGCCCCACAACCAGACCCCCCCCAAAAAACAAAAAAAACAACATGTTTTCTTGCAAACAGGATAGGACACATTATACAGAATTCCAGACCTTCACATACAGTCAGACCAAGAGGTTAGTCTTAGGAAAAAATCACCAAGTTGTAATGCCTATAGCCTCTTCATAAGTATATATAATAATATACATACTGAAATGAACTCCAAGATAAGGAAAACAAAGGACCTTTTCTTAATGTCTTTTTGTTTCCTGATCACTCTGTTCTTCACTTCATATTCGGTGTGAATATCTCATATACACATTCACCTCGAGTAAAGGGCACAGAATCAGTGGAAAATGTGAAATGTGCAGCAGCAGAGCACTGGCTGCACTGGACAGCTCCTGGGTGGAGATGGAAGAGCGGGAACAAGGAGAATAAGGGGACAGATGATACTATGTAAAAGGAAGGAGATGGACTTCTTACCTGACACATGCAAAGGTAACCCAACTGTACATCACCTCGAAAACAACAATATTTTTAAAAACATGTTTTATTTGAGTCAGGCGCTGGTGGCTCATGCCTATAACCCTAGCTACTCAGGAGGCTCAGATCTGAGGATCGCAATTCAAAGCCAGCCTGGGCAGGAAAGTCTGTGAGACTCTTATCTCCAATAAACTACTAGAAAACCAGAAGTGGCGCTGTAGCTCAAGTGGCAGAGAGCTCGCCTTGAGCTGAAGAGCTGAGGGACAGTGCTCAGGTTGAGTTTAAGCCCCACGACTGACAAAAAACCAAACAAACAAAAAAAACCAACACAAAACACAAAAACCATGTTTTATTTGTATTTTCAATCACACTGTTTGTGAGCCAAACCCAACATGTAGGCCCAGTTTCTGCTGTGTTGATTATGCCATACTTTCCTCCTTTCTTTGTCATCTGTTTGAAAACTGAAAATTCTAGGTTACTTTGTAGCATTTATGGATTTTGATGCCATTTTCTTTTCACTTGATTAAATTAACTTAAACTGTGAAATTTATCTCCCCCTAGAAGACTGTAGCTGCTGCTGTTTCTGCATAAGTTTTATAATCTTGTTCCTAATGTGTATAGCTTCCCAGGGCAGTCCTGGGAAGAAAGCCATGAGCTCCACAAGTCTTACCTGAAGCTCAAGACTTTCCAAAAATAATGTTCAATTTTGTGTCAACTTCCAGAGCCCTCTAAATGGTTGTTTTGGTGTGTGTGTGTGTGTGTGTGTGTGTGTGTGTGTGTGTGTGTGTGTTTGTGTGTGTAACCATTTTAGCTTTGTATTTACTTTTTACAATGATTGACCTCTTCATTCTGCCATAGCCATATTCCTTCCTGGTATCTATCTACTCTTAAATATTTCCAGTAATTCACATTTTACACACACACACACACACACAAAATGTATATAGGAAACAAAGTCAATTCTTCAAGTAGCAATTCTGAGAACTTTTTTTCAACATTATCAGTATTTTGAACATAGGAGCTTCCAGCTGCCAAGACAATTCCACAGAGAACAGCAGAAGTTGATGGCATGTATTTAAGGCTCTCCCAGTAATAAGTTTGCAAGTGGCATGAAAATACTTCAAGGAGAAAACTCTAAAATGACTTTTAAAACTTTCAGACTAAATATCTCATTATGTTTTTAAAAACAAAAACAGAATGACCTCACGAATCTAGAATTTGCAACTTTATCACCACCATCCTTTTATTCAAGAGTCTGGAAGTCCTTTGGACAAAGAGATTAAGGTGCTAACTCACAACCGTGGGGGTTCTGTAGAGGACCCTCAAAGCAAGCATACCGCTTTGTCTCAAAGCCTTTCTGTGTCTTCTTTCGGCATCTGGGAGGATCCTTGGTAAGTACAGGCACCTCAGGACCCACGGGGATCCGGGCTCAGTTTTGTGAGAGGAAAACACCTTCCATGTCCATAAGCCTTATATGCAAAGAATAATGTGTCTTAGATTTTTAAATCTCTCTCTCTCTCAGGGGCTGGGAAGGTGGCTCAGTGGTAGAGTGCTTGCCTTGCATGCATGAGGCCCTGGGTTCGATTCCTTAGTACCACATAAGAAAAAAGCCAGAAGTGGCGTTGTGGCTCAAGAGGTAGAGCACTAGCCTTGAGCTGAAGAGCTAAGGGACAGCGCCCAGGCCCAGAGTTCAGGCCCCACGACCAGACCCCCCAAAAAAAACAACTCTCTCTCTCTCTCACTCGGTGACACCGGGGTTTGAACTCAGGGCCTCCCACTTGCCTGGCTTGCTTGCTAGGATAACACTAACTCTCTTCCACTCAAACCACATCTCCAGCCTGTTTACTGGAGAATCAGTCTAGCACCTTTCTCCCTGGGCTGGCCTCAAACTATAGTCCTTCAAATCTCAGCCTCCTGAGTAACCAGGATTACAAGTGCGAGCCTGTACAAGTACCTAGCTTGTGTCTTAGATTTTTTAAAGAGTATCTTGGCATGTCTAGGAAACAACTTTTAACAAAATATATAGCTCACAAATACTTTCAAAGCACTAAGATTTAGTTACTGGTGAACAAAAATTATTCACCAAAGTCAAAGAATACTGGAGCTAAAGAGCACTTATATAAAAGAGTCACAGCTGAATATTGTCACAGTTAAAACATCATGACTGTGCAAAGTATTAATATCTTTATTCCACAACAGCTCTAAGGAAGATTCCATTTTAGGAGTGAAGGCAGAAAACCAACTAATCGTTCAAATGTTTGCCTTCACATTTTTGAATTTTTCTTTATCTCCAAGACAAATATTGTTGCAGTTATAATGGTTTATTAATTTACAGGATATACTAAAATGTTGACAGTAAATGCTATAAAACCCTCAGCTACATCACTGTCCACTTGACCTAAGTCCCCAGAATAGGAGAACAAGGTTCAAGTTAATAACATGTTGTATCCCACTAAAATTGGTTGAGGCCAGAGCCATTTGGCTTTTATCTGACATTTAATTTGCCAGCTTGCTCCTTCAAGATGTGTTCTTCCCATCTCCCTGCTAGGCCCACTAGGGCTCCCCAGTTCTTTGTATAGACCTCTAAGAGTACTTCTCATGTCTTCAGTAATCTGGCCCTGTCTGTCTCCTTGACTGAATTCCTCCCACCTCAAGCCTACTCTCTCCTTTTCCTCCAGTGTCAGAGGAAAGCTCCCTCAATGGCCCTGTGGCCAAATCCATCTGCCACTCGCATATGCTGCCCCTTCCACGGCTCCTGCCCCACTGGAGTTCCTCCTACCTCCCACCAGCCTCTCCCCAGCTGCCTGTCTTATAAATATTACACACACTCCTTGTCTCATCAGAAACTCTCCCTCCTCCGGGGCTCTCCTAATGCCCTTTCCGTCCTGTGATCTGCCTTTTCAGCAGATGTCTGCCAACCCTGAGCACACTTGCCTCACCCACTCAACAACTGGCTTTGCTCCCACCACTCCACCCACACTACTCTAGCCTAAACCAGAGACCAGACCAGTCTTCTTCATACCGACCTCTCACCTTTTGGAAATGTTCCCGAACTTCAGGAGCACCCCTACCCGACATTCTCCTCCACTTCTGGGTAGTAATGCTCACAGCTTCTCCATTCAGAGATAAATATTGTGAAAGGTTCCCTGTACAGGGTCAAAATCATGACCTCAAACTGGCTGTTAACTTTAAAACCACCTTCCAGTCCTGCCAGCACCCAGTGTTTAAGTGTCCAAGCTGCACATCTGGGTAAAGAATGTAGGTCTCCTGAGTGCCGTGGAGGAAGACCAGGAGGACAGCCACACATGCAAGACCTATGGAGAAGAAAGGAGAAAAGGCCAACCAAAACCTTTCAGGGCCACTTTTCATGCATCATCTTGAGAATCACAGTTGTCCATACTTAAAGTTTCCCAGGCGCCAAGAGAATCCTCACAGCACACACCCGGCGAGCTCGGAGGCCCTCGGCTTCCGTAGTGCAGCGGCTCGGCCATAAACAACATGTGCAAGCCATTTCTCCCTCCTCAAGAAAAAGGCAACAGCTGTTTGCTAAAGTTTTTTTTTTTTATTGTGGATAAAGACATTGCCAGCTTACATATATCATTTTTATTTGGAGTATTGGTTTTTTTTTTTCCTCCTTGCAGTGCTCCTGAGAAATTAAAAAAATGCATTGACTTTAGTTCTCTATAAAACAACCTAATCATAAGGTTGGGTTGAAAATTTGTTATTTTCCTATATAAATCAAAAGACAATTTGTCAGTTTTAAATAGCAAAACCTTAATAAGTTAACAAATAAAGACCAACAAATAATCACAAATGTCAGAACATTAAAATTATTTTCTCCCCAGAGGAATATGTAAAATAAATATCACCCAGCTTATTTGATATTTACAAAAATTAAAAGATAAATTTTTGTCGAGGGAAGATGTCTTAAATATTTTGATGCATGAAAAACACCATTGGTTTAAAAACCAAATCCAAACACCTTGAAGCTTGGTAACATTCTAAATTGTCATCACAGCAGCCTGTCCCTGAAGAGGTGGCCTGGCTGCTCTGCCCCGACTTCCTGATTGGATAAGGATTTTCAGCTCTTTCTTTCCCTCAAAACTAACCATTGAAAGGGTGAAAGAAAATAAGAACTTTATATGGGGTTTAATACTTGAACTAGTTTTAAGAAGGCCCTTTCTCCTTGTGGACTTGTTGCTTAATTTTGGTACCCCCAAACTCCTAAAAAAAAAAAGGTTTAGGAAGTGGGTGGGGTGGTTCACACCTTTAATTTCAGCTACACGAGAAGTAGAGATAAGACAATCATGATTTAAACTGTTAGGGAAAAAAAAAATTATCTCACAGACCCTATCTCAAAAGAACAAGCCTTCAGGTCGGTAATACCTGTAACCTCAGGAGGAGGCTTAGACAGACAGGAGGCTCTGAAAAATAAGTAAAAGCAAAAGGTCTAGAGGTGTGGTTCAGGAGGCCAAGTGCTTGCCAGGCAAACATGAGGCTGAATTCATTCCCTAGGACTGCTCTCCTCCAAAAAAGAATGCTGAACAACGAAAACTCATCAAACCATCTGATACTGTACTACATTAAAGTCAATGTAAATGGCTGAGTGACATTTTCTTCTGTAGTATATTTAAGTACACTGGAAAAACCACTAGAAATGTTGTGGAAGGTTCAACCACACACAGAATTATTGTCGTTAAAATACTGCAGTAAGGTGCTGTTAGCAGTGTCCTATTGCTAACATTCAAATCATGCACCTCCTCCCTGTCTGGTTTCTGAGAAGCCTCCCTGAGCAGATGGTTCATCTATGACACAACTTAAGTCTCAGAAAAGTCAATGAGTTATGCATGGTTTAGATCAACAAACACTTAGTCTGCATAGCAGTGAGCTATAGTTTCAGTAGTACAACGAAACATTAGGTGCTACAGGTCCAGGCCTGGACACACACTGAATAGCAGTAAGATGCTCTGTGGGGTCTGGAGGGACAATCTGTCCTGCGCAGCTTCCACACTCAGGTAAGCTACAGGAGGGAGCGACAGGTTGTTTTGGTCAGGGAAGTGGATACTTAAAATGTCAACAAGGCATTTCAAATATGATAACACACTACTTAAATACCCACCATGCATCTCGTCTTCAAAATAAAACACTTGTTACATGTTCCATTTTTTCAAAATGAAGGACCACACATCTTTTGTTTAGCTTAGAAGCTAGCACTGCAGTTGCTCCACCATGAAAGGAAGCTTCAATAGCAAGCCAACACATAATTCAGGATAATCAATGAAAATATCTTTTAGAAACATGTTAACAAATCTATGTTAATACAGATTTCCCAAGTTACAATGGTAAGCTGACTTATGATTTTGCAATTTATTCATGGTGCAAAACTGATGGCCATTCATTAGAGGTGGGATTCAAGCTTTGGAACGTTCGTCTCCTCTTGAGGCTGGGCAGCTCAGTGGGCTTGGCCTGCAGGCAGCCATGTGGTGGAGGGCAAAGGGCAAGCAGTGTGGCTAGGCCAGGGTGCTCAACAGGTGAATGCACTTCTCGGTGAATGTAGATGTTCTCGGTTCACAGTGGGTCACTAGGGTGCAGCCCTGTACAGGAAGTTAAGGCGCATATGTACTGCCGTAGGAATTTCTCTGACAATGGGAATTTCTTTGTACTAGAGAATGGCAATGTAAACAAGTTAGCCAAAAGAGACAGTGACATGGTGGAGCAGCATTTTCTGTTACTTAATTTTCCAGAAAAAAAAGTTTTAACCATCAACTGAGAATCAAAACTTTCAAGCTTCTAAATATATTAGAAATATACAATCCATCATAGCAAAATTTACAACCAGATTTAGCTTGGCTAGATTCAGACCTATTTACACTTTCCTCATTTTCACCTTTCCTTGCTATAAAATGTTTCTATCATAAAGGTATATCTAAATTTATAAAATCTGCAAGAAATGTCTTTTAAATGTACAACTTTAACAACTGATAGAAAATGGACATCCTGATAAAACTAAGCCTCAAGTCACAATTTTTTTTAATGATGGGCTTATAAAAAAATTAAACAAAAACTCCTGTTATTCTTAAGTTCCAACAGCTGGTGCTGGTGCTTAGCGGGGATTTCCCACCCTCCCCCGACCATGGTGACATGGTGATGGACCCATAGCTCGGATCTCTGCACCTGGATGTGTAGACTAAGTGCTATTGCTCATTGCATGTGGAGGCAGCAGCACAGGGTGACACGTGGGAGACAATGTCCACATGACACCTTGAAGAAGAGCCGTCAGCTCTTCTAAGGAAATAGTATACCTACACCATGTACTTGACAATGAAAAAGAACTTGGACTGGGGTGTGGCTCAGTGGTAGAGTGCCTGTCTTGCAGGTGTGAAGCCCCATGTTCAAGCCCCAGAATAGAGCAAAATAAAAAAGGAATAAACTTCTGATCCACGTGGTAACTTAAGACGGATGTCAAAGGAATTGTGCTGCATAAAACACATCTACCTCAAGAGGGAACATAATGTATGATTCCACTTATACAGTGTTCTTGATATCAAGAAGTTACAGAGCTGCTAAGGGGCGGGGGGTGTCGGGAATGAGGGCAGGAGGCAGCGAGGCATGGTTCTAAACAGAAGGAGGCAGCTCAAGAGATGGAAGAACTGTATTGTATCTTGACTGTGTGGAAGTCATGTGAATCTACACACATGACAAGATTGCATAGAGCCAAGTACACATTCCACCTAACGGCACCTATGACCTCATGAGAACAGCCATGCTCTTGGCTTCTCTGTCCTTTGAAGATGATCAATTCATGCTTCAGTAGAGTTCCTTCCCTAGGCAGAGAAGTGATGACTGCTTCTGGTTTTGTGCAAATTCCTTGATGATCTTTAGAAATGCTTGAGAATCTGATGAGGAAATAAAGTTGGTACAGATAGCTACTAGTATTTTTGTCTTCTTTTTTTTTTTTTGTAAATTAACTTTTTTAATGCAAAGGTTTCTACATTAAATTAGGCCAAATCAGAGAAGAAGAAAAGCAGATCATATAGCAAGCACTTGCTCCTCTGATATCTGCAATTTCTAAAAGCATTAAGAATATCTTTATTAAATTTAGAGAAATTACAATTGCAAACAAATGCATGACTTCTTCCGAAAGGCCACTTTGTGATAAAATACATATACATAGTGTTCATGTTTTCTTAAAGTGCTCTGTAGTCTGGGGCTTGGCAATTACCTATTGCTTTAACAGGTCTTTCAGCACAACACCAGCGCTGTTGTCAGGCGACACTGGCAAAGGTGTAAAGGTGGGCAGAACGTCCGAGATGGGTTTCAGAAGAGGATGCCCGGGCCCACCAGGTCCAAGCCCAGCGGGGTCAATGAGAGGGACAGCTGCAGAGCGGGGAGCCAGGAAAGGGCTCACATCTGCTCTTCTTCCAGCCCTGGATGCTGCGCCATCTAAATGAGGAGACATGCATTATTCATTCTGTCTTTCTCCTTCACAAAAAGCCTCTGAATGAGAATAATGGGGCAAGAAGCCTGCCTCTACACAGTGGTTTATTATCACCATTATCAACTTTCAAATCCCACTTTGCTGGAATTTGGCATACTTTTTGGACTAGTCTTCAATTACTTAAAAAGAAAACATAAACAGATCTCAATTACTAAACATTAAATACTAATTTGTTACCAGGTACCAGTGGCTCATGCTCATAACACTAGCTACTCGGGAGGCTGAGATCTGAAGGTCATGGTTCCTAGCCAGGGCAGGAAAGTCCGTAAGACTCTTATCTCCAATTAGCAATCAGAAAACTGGAACTGGTGTCGAGGCTCAAAGCAGTAGAGTGCTAGTCTTGAGTAAAAAAGCTCAGCAATATCACCCAGGCCCTGAGTGCAAGCCCCACAACTGACAAAAAGGGAAGAAAAAAAAAAAAGGCCTCCTAAGATAGAGAATATAGAGTCAAGTTCCTTATACTTACTTGTTACCCCTCACCCTTGGGACCCCAAATTAGCCTTTCCTGTGAATGACAACTAGCTATACTAGGAAAGCAGAATTCTAGGATTAGCTACTAAGCTCTGACACATCCAAACACAGAAATAAAGAGCAACTCTTAAAGTTATGATTTTTCACTGACTTGGTAGCCGTACTTTTTATCTAAATGACAGGTATGTTTCACTACTTTATCTTTCTAGCTAAGCTCAGAAAAGCAAACGTAGTTGTCTAAATAACAAATATATATTTTACCTAAATGAAACTATGTGATGTATGATAGAATCCAAAGAATATAACATATAACTTTAGTTTATATTGTTGGTCTATATTAAAAATACAGATACTTCAGAAAAAGAAGTGTCCCAATAAAGAAGCAATTTTAGTTCATCTATCATCATCCTGAATAAAATAAGAACCTTAGAACAGAGAAGACTATGTTACAAGAAGATGTAACTACTATAACTAGTCTGCCACCATTTCAGGAAGAATAATTCAAAGTGGCTCATGCAGAGATAACTATTTCAATATACAAAGGGAAAATGTTTCATAGTATTTAATTAAAACAGATAAAATACAAAATTGGTACAAGATAGGAAGCCAGTATTTAATGTCTTACAGGAATTTTGGAAGCATCATTGCACAGTTTCAAAAACACCGAAAATTCAATGTTACAAAAAAAACTGGTTTTACCTTTAAAACTTAGGGGTACATTTGCATCTAGTTTCCTCCTTCCTGGAGAATCCAGAGGTTTCATGTCATGAACAGAAAGCTTTGGTGGTGGGATAGATGGATGAGACTCTGTTTCTAGAAATTTAACGAAAAGTTCTGAAAAAGACTAAGAAAAAAAGGTATATTAGACTAAATAATAAAATGTTATCCATGCCAGGCATGGGGTACATGCCTACAGGTAACGGCATCACTCAGAAGGCTGAAGTAAGAGGATGAGTTCTAGGCCAGCCTGGACTACACAGTGAGACATGCTCAAAAGATAAATAAACCTACACTCACCACATGAAGAAAGTGCACCAGGTATTCTAATTAAATATTAAAAACTTACGTCATTTAATTTTTCCCCTTTTTTTCAAATTAACTATTTAAAAAGAAAACATAAACAAGGTTAACTGAAAATGCTAGTGGTAGTATTTTGCTTATATGGTAATCATTACAGAACTTTAACAATTTAATGAATAATCTTTGATGATGACACTCATTTCAAGTTCTTATTAAACGGAGTTAGTCAATTAAGAGCATGTCTCTTTTTGTTTTTTTTTTTTTTTGAGGCAGTCTCACTTCTGGAAGCTCAAGCTGGCCTTGAACTCACGATCCTCTTGCTTCCACCTGTCAAGTACTAGGATTACAGCCACGTATCACCACACATTGTTTTCTAGCCTTTTGTTTTGTCTTACTTAGTGTGTAATGTGCTGGATATGGAACCTAAGGCCTTGCACAAGCCATGCAAGCACTGTACCACTGAGCTACAGCCCCAAGAACATTCGTTTCTTGCCGTCAGTAGCACTTAAGACACCACGTTCAAATCATAGTATTTTAACAACACAGGTATAGAAACCATATAAAAGCTGGGTGCCAGTGGCTGACGCCTGAAATCCTAGCTACTCAGGAGGCTGAGATCTGAGGATGGCAGTTCAAAGCCAGCCCAGGCAGAAAAGTCCCTGTCTTATCTCCAATTAACCACTCCAAAACCGGAAGTGGTACTGTGGCTCAAAGTGGTAAAGCACTAGCCTTGAGCAATAGAGCTCAAGGACAGCACCTAGGCCTTAAGCTCAAGCCCCACAACTGACAAAAAAGAAGAAAAGAAAGAAACCATATAAAAGAAAAGCAAATATTAACATTTTTTTTGGGGGGGGCGGTTTGGTCGTGGGGCCTGAACTCTGGGCCTGGACGCTGTCCCTCAGCTCTTCAGCTCAAGGCTAGCGCTCTACCACTTGAGCCACAGCGCCACTTCCGGCTTTTTTCTTTTTGCTTATGTGGTGCTGAGGAATCGAACCCAGGGCCTCAGGCATGCAAGGTAAGCGCTCTACCACTGAGCCACCTTCCCAGCCCTTAACCTAATTTTCTAAAGGAAGACCCCCATCAATTGATATAGCAAAAGATCACCAGTAATGAATATGAGACTAAAATAACATGGTGTGTACTATTTCTTTAAATTAAAAATTTTGCCATCCATGTAAAAACAAGATCTTATCCTATTTCTTAGGATCCTCTTTATTAAAATAAATAAATGAATAACTGGATGTAGCCGGGCACAATGGCTAAGGACTATAATCCTATTTTCTTGGGAGGCTAAAATTAAGAAGACGGCATTTTAAGGGCATCCCAGACAAAAAGTTCAGGAGAGTCATCACAACAGAAAAAGCTGGGAATGGTGGTTCATGCCTATCATCCCAGCTATGGCTGAAAGTGTGAATAGGAGGATGACAGTTCAGGTTGGTCTGGGAAAACCTAAGAGCCTATCTAAAAAATAATCCCAGCAAAAAGGGCTGAAGGTGTGGCTCAAGTAGTGGAGTACCTGCCCAGCAAGAATGGGTCTTGGTTCAAGCTCCAGTACCACAAATAAATAGAAAAGAAAGAAAGAAGGAAACTGTATTCCAACTCACAGTGCTACCCAATGCAATTCCTATATATCAGGCACTGTGAGTTTATGTTTATCTGTTGTCTTCCCAATGGTATACAGCACATCCTCGGTAAGTATTATTGCTTCAATGAATTGAAACATATATACGTAAATAAGATAAAGGCTCTATTTTCAAGAATGGCATAATTTCATACTACTACTCCTCAACACAGCATTTATTTAAGAGTCTCACTATGTAGCCCAGGGTGACCTTAAACTCATGATCTGTCTGCTTCTACTTCCTACCTGCTGGGATTACAGGTATGCACCACCACGGCCAGCATCATTAACAATGCAAAATAATTATCACACAAATATATTAGATAAGCTAAGCTGGCACCAGTAGCTCATGCCTGTAATTCTAGCTACTCTGGTGGCTAAGATCTGAGAATCATGGTTTGAAGCTGTCAGAACAGGAAAGTCCAGGGGCTGGGAAGGTGGCTCTGTGGTAGAGCGCTTGCCTCGCATGCATGAGGCCTTGGGTTCGATTCCTCAGCACCACATAAGTGGAAAAAACTGGAAGTGGCGCTGTGGTTCAGGTGATAGGGTGCTAGCATTGAGCTGAAGAGCTGAGGGACAGCACTCAGGCCCAGAATTCAGCCTCCATGACTGACAAAAAAACAGAACAGGAAAGTCCATAAGATTCTTACCGCTAATAAACTACCAAAAAGCCAGAAATAGAGTTGAGACTCAAGTGGTTGAGCACTAGCCTTGAGCGGAAAAACCTCAGGGATAGTGCCCAGCCCCTAATTCAAGCCCCAGGACTGGTGGGCATATGCACATACACACGCTTGCGCACACGCTTGCGCACGTGCTCATGTGCACACACGTGCGCACAAACACACACACAAACACACACATACACACAATTAGATAAAATCTATATGCAATAAAATGATTAAAGCTGGCTTGTTATCTTTAAGCTGATCACTTCTCTGGATCTATTGCCATAACTCCAAAATAAAAGGGTGGCACAAAATAACCTAAAAAGAAATCTGATACTTTGCAATTGAGTTTGGTATACAAACATTTCATCCTTCATGTTCAGCAGAAATAAAATTGGCTCTTACACTATTAAGCACAGATTGCTGATTTGGTCTCAAAGGTGTGTTGGGAACACTTTTTGATCCTCCTCCAAGCCATCCTGTCATCCACCTAGTAACACCTCCTTGATCTTCATTAAACAACTGCAACGGTATTTTAAAAACAGAAAAATATTACTATTACAAGAAAAGAAAAATGAAGAATTACTTGTAACATGATTTCGGATAACAGCAAACCATGCTTATGAGTCCAAATCCTAGAAATAGAGGATACTAATACAATAACAATGCCACCCCACCTCAAGCACAATCTGAATGAAAGGGTTTTTTAAAATTTGTAATGGTTTTATTTTTTTAATTTCTTTTTATAAATTTTATTTTGTTATAAAGATGCTTTACAGAGGGGTTACAGTTATGAATGAAAGTTTTACACATTGTTATATCTCACACATTGTTACATCTCTGTTGACATGTAAACTGGGTTATAAGTTGCAAAATATTTAAACTAGTATCATACAAATCAAACACATCTACTCTTAAGATAGGACAAGTGTCCATAATACCTCAACATTGTAAGTCTGTTCAGAATGAGGTTAGGAATGGAGCCCAGTTGAAGAGTATTTGCTTAGTGTAAGTATATACAAGGTCCTAAGTTCAGTCCCCAGCGCTATCGGTCAGTCAATCAATTCAGAATGGATTCCAGTGTCAGGTTGGTTACCTGTTCCATCTCTTCTTTTTTAACACCTAGTATGCTTCCCATCAATCGTAACACTTCATGGCGCTTAGTTTTTGGTGTGTGGAAATGACCAATGAAGAGGTTTCTCATGAGGGTTCTATGAAAACAAAGGCAGAAACAACTCAAGCCAATGCACATTAAACATATGAACAGTGCTAACTTGAGACAATTAAATATTTATAGCACTGAACAAAAAAATAAAGTAGCTTTTGTTTTTTTGTCAGTCATGGGCCTTGAACTCAGCCTGGGCTCTGTCCCTGAGCTCAAGGCTAGTGCTCTACCATTTGAGCCACAACACCACTTCTGGTTTTCTGATGGATAACTGGAGATAAGAGTCTCATGGATGTTCCTGCCTGGGCTGGCTTTGAACTGCAATCCTCAGATTTTAGCCTCCTGAGTAGCTAAGATTACAGGTGTGAGCCACCTGCGCATGGCCTAAAGTAGCTTTTTAAAAAGTCTAATTAACAATGTTTCAAACAATTCAAAACATATACTTTTTAAAACACCAATTATTAGCCACCCACTTTCTTCAACCCAGTAGCCAACTGAGGAAGTGTTTCACTGGTTGATGCTCACCAAAGACCATCTTCACATAGCCACCAGGCTTTCTTGGGCTTAGATTTCTCATTCACAAAGATCAAAATTTACTAATAAGCTGGGCACTGGTGGCTCATGCCTATAATCCTAGCTATTCAGAAAAGAGATCTGAGGATCTGGGTTCAAAGCCAGCCCAAGAAGACAAGTCAGAAAGACTCTTCAATACACCAGAAAAAAAATTGCTATTAACACCAAAGTTTAAAAATATTTGATGAGGTAATGTATACACTCACATACACATATACACACACATCTAGCTTTCAGAATTTTGAGTAAGCTATGTTCAAGGACATTAAAGGTAAAGTAAAGTAAAACAGGTCCTTTATTTTGTAAGTACTTCACGTTGAGATGTTTTAACTGTTTTAAGAAAAAGAATAAATTGGGGCAAAAATACTTTTAAAAATAGAAAAATGTTCTATTGAGCCTTCATTAAAACTACTCACATATTTTATTAGATATAAAAAGGCTCCCTAAACATTTAATCACATATAAGGAGGGAATTAAAGAATCACGCTACCTAGAGGAGGCTGAGATCTGAGGAGTACAGTTCAAAGGCAGCCCAGGCAGGAAAGTCCATGAGACTCATCTCTGATTAACTACCAAAAAGGCAAAATGGCACTGTGGCTCAACGTGGCAGAGTACTAGCCTTGAGCACAAAAGCTCAGGGACAGTACCCAGGCTCTGAGTTTAAGCTCCATGACCAGCACCAAAACAAAACAAACCCAAAATTAATCACATACAAGCCAGGCACTGGTAGCTCACGCCTATAATCCTATCTACTCAGGAGGCTCAAATTTGAGGATTTCAGTTTGAAGCCAGCCTTGGCAGAAAAGTTGTGAGATTCTTATCCACAATTAACTACAAAAAAGCCAGAAATGGAGCTGTGGCTCAAGTAGTAGAATACTAGTCTTGAGCAAAATAAGTTCTAGGACCAGCAAGAAAAAAATTTTAATCACATATAAACTACTGCATGTGGAAGTTGTTCTATAATGAAAGCAATCCCTACAAAATATTTTATTTTATTTTATTTTTTTTTTGGGGGGGGGGTCTGGTCATGGGGCCTGAACTCTGGGCCTGGGCTCTGTCCCTCAGCTCTTCAGCTCAAGGCTAGCGCTCTACCACTGAGCTACCTTCCCAGCCCCCCTACAAAATATTTTAAAAGTTAAAAAGCAAAAGCATACTTGTCCACTTTTCCTTCAGTACTGTTTACTAAATTCATCAATTTCTTTTGTGCATCATCCAACATTTCTTGTCGGAGCTCATCTGTTTTAAAATATGTGAATAAAGATAGTCATTAACCAATCAATCTGAACAAATATACAATAACACTTATAAGATCTTTACGATGAAATTTAAATTTGTACTCTACACTGAATTACTTCCACCTATTCTCTGTTTCAGAGAAAGACTCTCTCTTGATACAGAAACTGCTTAAAACCCAGAGTATGCATTATTCCATATGGGTTATCCCATAAATAATCAATTCTTCAGTAGGAAAATCTTTAAAATCAATAAAGGCTTCCATCTTCTTTAGAAACTTAATAGCAAAAGACCAGATTTTCACTCCTGCTTCCTAGCATGAAACATTTCCAGTATAACTTCTGTTTAATGGGAGGAAATGGAAAAGACAACTTTAGATTTTCCTTTTTTTATTTTCCTGGCTGTACTCTGGTTTTGGTGAGCTGACTAAGAAAAGTATTTAACACCACTAAGACCACAATTCAACACAAGTCTGACAGGGCAAAGCATTCCAGAGTAAGGAAATTGCAAAATACAATTCAGATCACTGGCGCTAATCATATTACAATAGTTTATGACAGATTTTAAATTCCTATCTAAAAAGTAAATAGAATCTTAGTAAAATCTTAGTAATTACAATGTGAGTACTTTACAGTACAGTACTTTACTCTTTTCATTAGCTAATAAGCCTCAGGACTGAGGATTCAAGGACAAAGGAACTTAGTCTAACATAATTTACACCTGTTATGTTAGAAGTAGATTATTTGAGCTAAGAGGTATTTACTACTTTTAACATAGAGTACAGGTTTTTGTTCTGAAAGAAATGAAAAAACCATGTGGTAGCTACGAGCCAGTGGCTCACACCTGTAATCCTAGCTACTCAAGAGGCTGAGATCTAGGGACTGTCTTTGGAAGCCAGCCCAGGCAGAAAAGTCCCCATGAGACTCTTCAATTAACCACTAAAAAAAAAAAAAGGCCCAGAAGTAGAGCTGTGGCTCAAAGTGGTACTAGCCTTCCACAAAAGAGCTGAGGGACAGTGTCTAGACCCCGAGTTCAAGCCTCACAACCAACAAAAAAAACTCACAAAACACATATTCTTTTTTTTGATTAGTAGGAGCTGGAGAAGTTACCAAAGAGAGGACTTGTACATATTTCCTCCATTTTGTGGGCTTTCACTTCTCTCTTGATGGTATTCATTGAAACACAGAAGTTTTTTAATTTTGGTGAAGTTCAATTTCTTTTTTTCTTTATGTTGTTTTTACTTTGGGTGTCATACCTAAATACTACTGCCATGTATCATGAAGTTTTATGCTCATATCTTCTTTGAAGAATTTTATGGTTTTGACTTGAAATCCAGGCCCATGATCCAACTGAGTTCATTCCTGTGCATGGTATGAGGTAGATGCCAACTTCACTCTTTTACATGTGGGGACAGCCAGCTTCCAGCACCATATTATGGAAAAAGTATACTTCGGGCCCCTTTTTTGAATGTTAATTGCCCATGAATATATAGTATATTTCTGGGTTCTCACGTCTCCTGCAGGAATTTTGTACAAGTTTTCCCTTCTGCACGGAAAGCTTTGCTCTACTGGTACTGCCTCTTGAGTCTATTTATCCTCCACTGTGCAGCTCCCAACATACTTCCTCCGCAGTTTTTCTAAGACTCACAGATTGTGTCTATGTTTTTCATTCTATTCTGTATGGTTCTGTTTTGTAGCACAAACGCAAATATAAATGCCCACTTTGACCTTCTTACAATAGCTTGTGGTTTGTCTAAATTGCAAAATGTCATTCATATAATAAGACTAATGTTACCAAATGGTCGCCATAACCATATTATACAGGATAAGTCTGTGTTTGGAAAATCTACCACAGACTTTTCCTTCTCTGTCTTTTCAGTAAAAAATTTAAACTTGGCCATAAAAAGAGTATAGTATGAGGGAGAATATAGGAGAATAGAACTCTTAACTACTCAGAGGAAGAATAGCAAAATAAGCAAGTTAATCTCTCATCACTGCTCTGACTTAACCATCCCACCAGAGTAAAGATGGGCCAATCTTCTCTTTCATGCTCATCTGCTCTTCTCTCTATGGCTAGGAAGGAAAGGCAGGGGAGAAACAGGTCAAACTTCCCCACTCTTGAGTCAGGCACCGGTGGCTCATGCCTATAATCCTAGCTACTCAGGTGGCTGAGATCTAAGGATCACGGTTCAAAGCTAGCCTGGGCAGGAACGTCTGTGAGACTCTTATCTCTAGTTAACCACCAGAAAACCAGAAAGTGGTGCATAGCTCAAATGGTAGAGCGCTAGCTTTGAGCTGAAGAGCTCAGGGACAGTTCCTAGCCCCACGACTGGAAGGAAAAAAACAACAACAAAAACTTCCCTAGTCTTTCCATCTTTCCGTCTTCCATTCCTGAGATTTTCTTCTCCTACTTTCCTCCATAAGTAATCATTTTAATACTGATTACATGCTAAAGGGCTACATAAAAAGTATTATCAAAGGGGCTGAGAAGGTGGCTCTGTGGTAGAGTGCTTGCCATGCATGCAAGAAGCCCTGGGTTCAATTCCTCAGCACTACCTATGTAGATAAAGCCGGAAGTGGTGCTGTGGCTCAAGTGGTAGAGCACTAGCCTTGAGGTGAATTGCTGAGGGACAGTGCCCAGGCCCAGAGTTCAGGGCTCACAACTGACCAAAAAAAAAAAAAGTAGTATGAAAGTAAACTTAAACTCTATCTTATTATATTAATGTGGCCATAAAAAATTGAAAATTATGTTGGATGTAATTGGACATGCCTAATCTGATTACTAAATTGGCCAAGACAGGAAGATTGTGAGCTCAAGTCCAAGCCTGGCCTACACAACAAGACCCAATCTTAAAAGAGAAAAAGAAAAAAAAATTGATGTTTAGGTTCAGGAAGAAGAAAAAAAAAAAACACAAAACCCCAACCTCAGAATTTAGGGGAAGGACTAGAGGAAATGGTACAAATTGTAAGACTTTAGAAGAGAAATTCACACACCCATTTCAAAGGTCCCTTGATGTTCCTTTTTCTCCAGGAACACTTACTATTCTCCTCCCATTAGAAATTCAAATATTTCTCTACAAAAATTGAAAATGAACTCAAACCACAATTTGAAATCAGAACTGTATTTGTCTGGGCAAGCAAAATATGACTATAAAGAAATGGGTTTTAAGTCAAACGCAATTACTTTTGTGAATAATTTCACATGCCAAATAACTCTTTAGAAGTTTTAAGGGTGGGAACACTTTAAAGCTTAGCAATAGAGTAGCTGAGATTGAGTCTGGTTTTGAAAACCCGTGACTAGGGCTTCTTTAAAACACCCAGAAATGGAGCCATGGCCTTCATTATTTGATTTAAAATCAAAATTGGATATAAAAAGCAACTGCCTGCAACAAGTCAGCACATCATAATTTTACATTTTATTTGTGATTAATGGCAGTGTTCTATAATATTGTCTTCAGAGAGTATCTTAAAATTAATCATCTTCCTCACAAAGTCATTTAGCTATTTCATGACTAAGCTCCTATGGACAAGACCCAAGTCAGGCTTACTGAACCATCAGTTGAATGAGAAAAAAGTAGATGAAGCCTACTCAGAGCTTGAGTCAGAAGACCTGGATATAAAACATGACCTATCACCAGTGCCAGATTTTGTTGCCCATTTTGTATAATGCATACCCACCTTAAAATTTTGAACCAAATGGTCAAATCTAAACAGTAAAGGCATGAGTTCTCATTCATCTGATTTCTTTTTTTTTTTGTCGGTCGTGGGGCTTGAACTCTGGGCCTGGGCGCTTTCCCTCAGCTCTTTAGCTCAAGGCAAGTGCTCTACCACTTGAGCTACAGCGCCACTTCCGGTTTTCTGGTGGTTTATTGGAGATAGGAGTCTCACGGTCTTTCCTGCCCGGGCTGGCTTTGAACCGCGATCCTCAGATCTCAGCCTCCTGAGTAGCTAGGATTACAGGCGTGAGCCACCAGCGCCCGGCTTCATCTGATTTCTTAAAATAACCCACAAGGAGTACCTCATTCAATTTTCCCTAATTACTTAGCAACCATACATATTGCTATGATTAATATTAATAATCTGTGAGATTTTTTTTTCCTGTCCATTTTGCAAATTTCTCATCTTTAAGAGTCAAAGTTAGCCAGACACTGGTGGCATTAGCCTTGAGCTGAAGAGCTCAGGGACAGCGCTCAGGCCCAGAGTTGAAGCCCCACAACCAACCAAAAAACAAAGAAAAAGAAGAAAGACAAAGAAAAAGAAGAAAGACAAAGAAGAAGAAGAAGAAGAAGAAGAAGAAGAAGAAGAAGAAGAAGAAGAAGAAGAAGAAGAGGAGGAGGAGGAGGAGGAGGAGGAGGAGGAGGAGGAGGAGGAGGAGGAGGAGGAGGAGGAGGAGGAGGAGGAGGAGGAGGAGGAGGAGGAGGAGGAGGGAGGGGAGGAGGAAGGAGGAGGAGGGAGGAGGGAAGAGGAGGAGGAGGGAAGAGGAGGAGGAGGAAGAGGAAGAAGAAGAAGAAGAGGAGGAGGAGGAGGGAAGAGGGAAGAGGAGGAGGAGGAAGAGGAAGAGGAAGAAGAAGAGGAGGAGGAGGAAGAGAAGGAGGAGGAGGAGTTGAGGCAGCAGCAGAAACAGCAGTAGCAGCAGCAGCAGGGGAGGAGGAGGAGGAGGGAGGAGGAGGAGGAAGAAAATTTGCTGATAGAAGTTTTCTTAAGGGTCATGTAGCCTGAACTACACTTATATCTGAGAGCTCCTTATTACAAATTAGGATGAATGACATCAGTAGTGTTGGTTTAAGTTTTTTACTAAAACTCAAATTAGGTGTCACATAAAAAAAATTAGAAAACTTCCAAATGCAGATTCCTATTGTCTCTTGAAGGAGCTGAGACTTTGTAACACAGGACCCACATGTCCACGTAGGAGAACCTGCATGGAGTGCCCTAGTACAAATATGCTTCCAGGTATCCTAGGCTTTACCTATCTCCTTTGCTAGTCTGTACTGTCACTCCAGCTCA